TATCGACAGGCCTAGTTCTTTTCCTTTGCTTATCCAGGGCAAGAATTTGTGCTCAATCAGTACAATAAGAAATCCTAAGTATTTTTTTTGGTCAAGCGACACCCAGATTTTAACTAGAGATAAAGTATTTGCAGTCCCGTGCCTTACCGCTTGGCCATGCTGCCAAATCTGATCCAAAATCGAGCAAAATCTTATTCTTCCACATCATTTTACTAATTTGTATTCCTAGGAGGGGATTATGAAACCCGTTTTGATTCTTTTTAGATCATTGAATCCCATTGTACTTATCCCTTTTCAATCCCTTTTAATAAATTCATTCCTGTTTTATATTGGACACGGTTTTATTCTCTTCGATTGATTGTATCTCAAAACACACATTGCTTAAATACCTTCTCTTTCTATTGAAAAGAGAAAGGATTTCGGTCACAGACTACAGAATTTAGGAAAAACTGGAACCATTCACTATATTATTTATTATTATTTGTTATTTTCATATTTTCTATTTGTTAGTAGTGAACGGTTCTAAAATGGGTATTGTATCCCAAATAGTGTTTCCTTAATGGCATAACAAAATCAAATTGATTTACGGCTAATCAGTATCAATTAAAAAAGAAAATTATGATATTGATATAGTGTGACCTGACCCCTGTTGCTCCAAGTGAAATTCTTTCTAGGGTTCTTATAGATATTCTCCATTTTTTCCCGTTCCCTACAATAAAGTATAGTCTGAAGGCTAGCATGCACCATTCCTCACTTATGATAATCTAAGACCAAAAAGAAAGAAGGCTCACACCATAATAATACATACCCTTTTTCCTCGATCATCAAGGTCGTGGATTTGGATCGATTTCGGTTTTACAGGCTTCATACATTGTTAATAAAAGTACTCGGCATTGGAAAGCATCACGTTCTACACACAAAAGAAGTCGGTGGAAGGTATGGAATTTCTCGGCTAAAGGTTAGAAAGAAAGCAATCATCGGTGCTCTCGGTTCCAACAATGAGTCTTTTCTCTGAGAATTAAGGGAAACAAACTAACCTCGTCTGTCTATGTTCACCTTGACATGAAAGACTCTTTTCCTAACCTGACCATTCTATCTGGCTAGTTCACTTCACTTTTCGAGGGATCCTGGATTGGACTTCACTTGTCTATGAGTGTCTGAACAGCTTCAGATCCTTCCAAGGCGCAGGGGTTCTCTCTCCATTCACTTTGAGCTGGGTTTCTTATGATCTTTGTAGTAGTTTTTCTGTCCAATTTTATGGTAAATTAAATCTTACACAGTTGTCCCCAAGGACGTCCATTCCATTCGGCAGGGACTCCATCTCGCATTCGATCTCCCTCCTTTCCCTAAAAGGGTCGAGGTATCTCTGGACTTCTCTTTTGCCTCTCTCCCAGATTCAAGAAAAGGGAGGAAGAGGGCCTCTCGACGGGAGTGATTTCCCGAAAAGATATCGTTCCCAGCATCCTTGAGTTCGTAGTCAAACTCACTTTCATACACCTTTCATGGAATGGTGCAGGCAAGCGCCGATGTCTAGAGCAGGAGATGGAAGCTTGGGTTGAGGAGGCTGTCAACGAGTCATCAAAGGCGATAGATTGGTTATATTCTGATTCGTTTGATTTTGATTTTCTTTTTTTTTTGTGAGAGGTCTGAGTCCACAGCTGGGGAAGAGTCGTTAGATGACAATTGAAGTAGGGGTCTGCCTCTTTCAAAGGGAAGCAAGAGTCTCATAGGAAAGGTGATCCTGCACAGACCAATCCCAATCAGGAAGAGAGTCTTGTTGTCAATGAAAGCAATTTTTCTATGTCATATATCTGCCTATCTCGTGTTGTGAGCTATAAAGTACCCACCAGGGGGTGGACCAAGAAAGAGGCAAGCGATTGGGCCCTTCCCATCCTCTGTGATGTCAGTCTCTTTGTCATTCTTTCACCCTTGCTGAGTAGCGAAGTGAGCATACTCAAGATCCAATCCATCAATCATTTGAGTTGGTACGAACATAGGAATCCAGACTCCGCTTGATTTGATCTTAAGTTTCGACCTTCATCAGTCAGGAAAAAGAAGAAGGACCCACTTATTCCACTCGGAGAGACCGAACCAGGCAACAAAAATAAAAATAAAAACTGAAGGAAGTTCTCTTTCCATTCCAACTAAACTAAGTGCAAAATGGCGGAGAGCAAAACAGAAACGCATGAACAAAGAAACTATGTCGAAACCAACGAGTCCTTTGGTCGACTCTAAAGAATGTATCAGGAGTTGGGAGTTAGTCGTCTCATAGGAGTGATAGCTGGGTTTTTCACGGAGTTTCTTCGTACGATTGAAAAAAAGAGTGCTCTAGGTCGCAGAAAACAAGAAGAAGATTGTTCACCAGTCTGTCTCCCAACCCCTTTAAAGCAGCTACCTACCGTGATCTGGCCTTGGGAAAGCATTGGCACCCCCGTTTGCTGGATCTTCTAGGCACTCTAAAGCGCTTCCATGAGAGACAGATGGACTTTGAGTTATAGACGGAGAAGAGCCTTTAGAGGATCAAGAATGATTCCCCAATCAAACAAATGGGATTTTGAGGGAGGGCTGAACGCGATGTACTGAAGGGTTTACTTTCGCTGATCGGCGCCAGTCTTCCTGCTATGAATTTCCCAGGTCGGGAGGGGCCCTTTCCTTCTACCTTACTGAACCCATTCACCAATGATTGGTTCACTCAAAGCTAAAGACCAATTCCTTCCTTTTAGGTGGTCTAGGTGGCTGGGATACTATGCCCTTCTTTTTAGAGGCTCAAAGACGAGTTCTTTGAAGGAAGCAAAAGAACCCATGTGTCTCGGATGAAGTCTACCCTCTTTTTGTGCCGGGAAGAAGAATGAGATCCAACTCAAAGTCAAGGAAAGCGGCCTAGACCACTAACTTTTGATGGAAGACTTTTGAACATGGATTGGCCTGATAAAGCCAATTTTTCGGCGAATCAAATATTTTCTGAGAGCACTAGATCTTCTCTCTTTGAGGATTGATTCCCACTCACTGCCTGATAGCAGGATTGGCCCATGAGACCTATTGTCTTATTGTACTGGCTCACTTCACTACTTTGGAGAATGAGTTTTTCCCCTTTTTGGTTCGCAAATGCTCTAACCCATTGGGAAGCTCCATCCAAATTGGAGTTGATGTGAGCACTTCCCCAGAGGCAGAGGCTTTTTCTACAAAAGGATGGGAGCATAAAATGTAGGTGAGTCAATTGCATGTGGCCTTCAAGTATTTCGTACTGTAACAATATTAGATCGGCATCCAAACAAAGGTGCATGTACGGTTCCTCTGGGACAATATTTTGTCCTAATCATTAAGAAAGATTAAATAAGTTGATAGCGTGATCTCGTACTAACACATACTCTTTAAATATTGAAGAACTTGCATGCGGCCTTCAATGTGGCCTTCAAGCCACAACCACGTTATGTTCTGATCTAAGACTTTGGTTTGGGGGCTGCTGGCCCCTACACATACTCTCTAAATATTGAAGAACTTGCATGCGGGCTTCAAGCCACAACCACGGTATGAGTCCTGATCTAAGACTTTGGTTTGGGGGCTGCTAGCCCCTTCGCATCGACAAGGAAACTGTGAACGACCATGAGTTTAGAATTAGAATTAAGGACGCGTCTAGCTGGCGGCCGGGGGCTCGCTAGCGCTCCCTAGCGGCCAGCCAAATAAAGTAAGTGTATGTCCCCTGGTCCCAGGAAAGGTAGGACACTGCTAATTAATCATCCTATGTGGTCTCTTCTCACGTGATGGATGTCTGCATGCCGATGCATTCATGTTCCTCATGTTCGTCCTTTGTGCATTAGTTTTTTGGTTTTCAAAATAATAAAAGACATATCTTCTAAACCACACGTCGAAATTCAGATCCGTTTTCACCCTTGAAACCCTCGCGATGTGCTCTTCAAAAATAGATCCCGCATGAAGTTGTTTCGACGAATTAGTCTTTCTGCCAACTAGATATCAATGTGTGTGCAACTAGACTACATTGCCCCGCCAACTGAGCATATGTGTGTGTGTGTCAATAGTACTGCCAACTAAACATCAGTGTGTGTGCAAGTAGATTACATTGTCGCGCCAAGTGAGCATATGTGTGTGCAAGTAGTATCCTGCCAACAAAACATCAATGTGTGTGTAACTAGACTAAATTACAAGCCAACTGAGCATATGTGGGTGCAACTAGTCTTCCTGCCAACTAAACACCTGTGTGCAACTAGACTACATTACAAGCCAACTAAACATCAATGTGTGTGCAATTAGACTACATTACAAGAGAAGGTTGCACATCGACTTCGTTGGGACAAAAGTTGTCGTGGTTGCTAGGTTGCAACCTCATACGAAGGTGCAGCTCCAAAGATTAGTTTTGTAAAATTGCACGATGTAGTACTAAAATTGCACAATACAGTATTAAAGTTGCACAATATATCATCAAAGTTGGCATCGAAAAAATTTCGTTAAAATATACTCATATGGGATCTAGTTTCTAAGATCTCGTCACGAAGAATCCAACGGTGAAGACGAATCTGAATTCCAACACGTGATTTGAAAGATATGATTTTTAAAAAATTGAAGATCCGAAATAAATACACAATTTGTTTTGTTGTCCATGATAAATCTGACATTTAATAATTAATCACATGCACTAGCAGAGAAATCCTACGCATGTATATGTGTGGCAGAGCGTGGCCGCTTATTTTCTCCAAAAGATGCGCGTGCACTTTAAAGATTTTAGGATTAAAGTATGTTTCGAATAGTGTGGTGGTTTTTTTAAAAGGTTGGCATTGTATGTCAGCTGCTGGCATAAACTATAAACTTTAGGTGACGGGGCTGCTGGTATATCTATGGCCATCGGTCTTCTCAAATTTGTCTGTGGACCGCACGTTGCACGCACGGCTGACCTAAAAAAAACGGGCGTCGAGTAGGCGGCCAACTCAAACGGACAAAAAAACAGATAAAATCGCCGTCTGTTTGAGTCAGCACGTTCCTTGTGTCTATGGCCCGACTGGGCGGATGACCCAGTCAAAATCGTCGCGAGGAAGCGATTCCACAGCCTTTGATAGGGAGCTTAGTAAGAGATGGTTTGCACTGTCGGTGCAAAATACATTAATTAACTTGCATTAATGATACAGAAAGAGCTCGCAACAAAGAAGCGGGAACGGGTTATTTCAAAAAAAAAAAAAGCGGGAACGGGTCTTTTAACTCCAATACCACCTGATAGCTTTTAGGCTTCGGTGCTGCAAGCTGGTAGCTTCCGTCTGGGTGGTAGGTAGATGCATGTGTGGGTAGAACGGTGCTCCAAGCTACTAGTAGCAACTTACGCTTGGTTGGCACACCGGATATTCAGTCCAACCTTCAGTGGTCATCTGGTGGCTGTATCATCGAGATGCTGCTCCTCAGTGGATGAGACAATATCACCTGGAAACCACATATTCAGCGGAATCCTGGAAACCTGAGCAGAGACAGTAGGATGCTAATTGTATGGGCCAGATTGACTCATAACTGCTCTGCCCTATTTGCAAAACAACGACCGCAACCAGAGTACATTTTACACGGAACCCCTCAGGCCTACAAGTAAACACAGCTAGCCTCTTGCCACTAATTTCCAGTTTCTTGTCAGGAAGTAGGATCTGTAAGCCATGCGATGTGCCTATGATTCACCACGCATGCCAGACATTTAAATTTCGATTTAAAATGGAAAACTACCAGCAATGGATAGCAAAACTCACAGAAGGTGATTCTAAATAGTCTCCTAATAGCAGAGTCCCAGCAAAATCACATTTAGGAAACTAAAACAACTAACATGCAATGCCCCAGACAAGACAACAGAAAACTGAAGGAAGCCAATTTTAGTAGTCCAGAATTCACTTGCAGTACTGCCATCACTTCAACAACGTGAGAAAACTGAAGGAAGCCAATTTTAGTAGTCCAGAATTCACTTGTAGTACTGCCATCACTTCAAAAACATGTACAGTAGTTAAGGCATGATAGCCGCATTATGCTAGGGAGTTTAGTTACAACATAGACACGTACAGTAGTTAACGCATTATGCTAGGGTGTTTTGTTACAACAGACACATCACTAACCCATTAGCCATTAACAGTCATAGTAAACCTCACGTTTATACATCGGACATAACTCGAGTACAAGCTGAAGAACGTATCAGTGCACCACTACGACTCCAAACATCCTGCAGAAGTCCTTGTTTATGAAACCTTCATAAGTCTTTACTGCCACCAGCAAACCTGAAACATAAGAGTTGAACTTTTTATACTTATATATGAAAACGAACTTAACAACAATCTAAGAAAATAGATACATCAGTGCATGTTATCTTTATTAGCAAGAAACATATTAGAATTATTCTCAACTAAGTCCAGAGGAATGTACCTTAATCATGTACTTGCACTTTTTTAGGACAAGTGCGGCTATCATTCTTGTTCGCATTCTTATCTTTCTTGCTTTGCTTTCCACCCTTATCCATGTATCCTTTAAGTCTTTTGATCCTACCCCTCAATCGAATATCATTTGGAGGATGAATGTCAACCTCATTTGGAATTGAACAACCCAAGAATTCCTCAATTTTTTCTGTTTGAGTTTGTTCTTTCGCCGGAACTTGGTTACATAATTGATCTCCAAGTGCAAAAATCCTTAGCTGCCTTCAAATCCGTAAAAGTCATCCCTATGGCTGGCCTGATGTCATCATCACACTCCGGAGTACAAGATGAGCCCTGAAATTTGGATGAAAAGAACAACGGGTTTAACATGCTGGAATACAAGAAACTGTAAGCATGTACATATTACTTAGACAAGTACTTACACAGAAAGGTGCACTATACAATTTTTGTGGTGTGGTAAATACAATTTCGGCACTTGGTCTAGTGTGGACGGCAGATTCTGCATCAGACTGGGCGTCACAAATAGCCAAAGGTGGAGCCTTGCTCACTCCGCTCTGGCATTCCATAGTTACTGCACAAAGAGAAGATATACCATCTGTAAGTGCAAAAAGCACATCCGCATAGGAGCCAGTCAATATGTGCATTCCGGAATAGCATAGAAAAAATAAACTGGTCGAAAGAACATTCAAAGTGTTAGCAGTACCTAATCTCAGCTCACTTCACCAATCGATTGCAATATAAATTAAAACTAACAACTAAAATCATTTCTACAATTTATCTATGCTCAAATAGTTTCAACTCCTTTCTTATTCCCATTGTACTACACACAAGTCTGCAAGAAGTAATGGTTTTTTTAATTTCTTATTCCCATTATGGTGTATAGTATTGTCAAATTAGCATGATTGGATCTCCCTGTTGTTGCATTAATATAAAACTTGCTTACCAAATGAGTTTTGACTTTACCAACTTCTTGAAGACCAAAATCTGGACAGTAGACTTAGGGGCAATCAGCAGTTGCAGCCAAGATACTACTACCTCGCTCCCTCCCCTACTCTAGCTGCTTTGCTTTGCAAACCTAGCCCAACTAGAAGTGCTAATCTTGGAGGAGACAACCAGAATCCACACCCTTGTCCTCTCTATTTGCTTTACAAACCTAGCTCAACTAGATGAGCTCCGAAAAGAAGACCACGGCAAAGTATACAAGATGATCAATGTAATAGAAATCTCCATACCTTCAGACTTAGATCCGGTACCAATCCGATGGGGAATGCTCAGAGAATGATTGGCGTGTTGGGCCAGCCGCCGGAGAGGAGAGAAGCCCGGAGAAGAATTACCCATGCCGGTCGCCGGCCGCCGGCCGCCGGGGTGTACTGCTGGGTTGTCGCGGTAGGCCAGCCGCCGGAGAGGAGAGAACGAATTAGCCGCGGTCGCCCAATGCCTGATACTCCGTAGGAGAGAATGAACTAGACGCGGTCGCCGGCCGCCGGCCCTGCGCAGAACGAGGGCGTCGTGCTGGCCGAGGCGACCATCTCCTAACCCTAGCTGTTGATGGGGAAAAATTGAATCGGGATAGGAAGAGGCACCGATGGCTCATCTTCCATAAGGATGTTGTACCGAGGTACAGGAAGATTACGAGGTTCTTTCTGCATTTCGTCCATCTTTTCATCTCAAATCGCACAATCCTCATCCAACGGCACAGGATCAAGTTTCCGTGCTTCCACTGAATACATGGTTTTCATCAGATATGTACTCCTCAGTGGGGAATGGAGTGAATGGCGGAGGCGCCGGACCACGACCTGTTAGCTGTGATAGCAGGTGGTCATCCAGCCGCAAGGACAGCCATAGTTGGCCAAACGGGTCAGTATTCAGCACTTGCAACAGCGGTTGGGTACCTGCAAATCAAGGTAGTACAGGATGAAATATAATTAAACAGACATATTATAGTAACATATATTAAAATCAAATGAAGGAATACAGGCACCATGGCGTCCGTGAGGATGCAGTTTTAGAAGTTAGAAATATGTTGGACTTTGTAAATGCAAGGTGGGTGCTATAACATATAAACCCACAAAATCACAATAACAGCAACGCTTTTACAAAAAATTGTGCTACAAACACTTGCTTTTTGTACAGCATATATTTTTGAATGGTTTTCGAAGGCTCTACGGAAACAATAGACAATACGTAGAGCGCAGAAACTTCCATGCAACCGAGTGCAATATCCTTCTCAAAGGTCTGAGTACATGTTGAGATTCCTTTGGAGGGGGTATAGGGAAGCATTCCAAAGGAATTTATACCAATCCGATGATCCAGAGGGCCCTTGCCAGGAAACTTCCCAAACTAAAGTTCAAAGACAGCATTAAGATATTCACCCAACATTGCACATACAAATTTGCCTTACAAAAATATTTATATCATGAGCTAGCACTCCCCTTTTAGGAAGCATATCAATGACAAGGCTACATTTGATCTCTAACAGCAGGAGAAGAGAAGAGCTAGAAAGCACGGACACGGCTGGAAGTGCCGAACAATACGGCAGGATACGCCGGGATACGCGAACTTTGCAGTATCCCCCGAATTTCGATCTTAAAAAAGGAAAAAAACACAGGGATACACAGGAACTCAACATCACTACATTGGCATCATTTGCAGTTGCAGGTTAAAACTTTTCTAATATATATTTATTCCTTTGATTAAGGAGAACTAACAATCACAACCTGAAAAAGGTAACATATTCTATCAAACTTCAGGCCAGACAACAAGATGCAAAGTAGGTATACATGGAAGTTGGACAAACTCTTCTCGTCTAATGGCAACATTTGCAGCAGGAATCTATCTCGAGGACGAAATCGTAGCATGATGAGATAATATTTTGCATTCTTTTCAATCACAACTTCTTAATGCTAAACAACTTCAATATTTAAGAGTTGAATATCACGAGTACAATAGAAGAACACATGGACGAAAAACAGAAATGGAAAAGCCCCATACAGCAATCAGCTTCAGTGCCATTACCTGCGGTTAAATGCTGCTGATAGTTGCGGTAGCCTGCGTATGGACCAGCATATTCAGTCGAACCCCCATAGCACTGCCGTGTATCCTGCAGCGGTGACTGTAAAGGAATATCAACTACTCAATGCATGGAGATGAAGAAATCAATGGCTAGCAGACAGTAGACAATCAAAGCATACCAGCTTATTTAGAGAAAAATTGCCTGATGAAACATGATCATTAAGTAGAGATTTCTGAACCACATTTGCAGTAGGGATGACTTCCTCTGCACATGACCTTAAAATTGCAACGAGTGTCATATGTCATTAGTTAAAATAAATAGTGAGGAAGTGGAAACAAAGGAAATTGTCCCGTCCACACGAACACCTTGCTTAAGCATAATCAAAGAAGTTTACCTTGGAGTTGCATCAAGATATTTGGAGAATGTACAGGGGAGGAAGTCTGGCTTGAATAAACAGACTCTCTCAGAAGAGACTGGTACGAGTACTTCCACTGCCTTCTTTTCAAGGTCAACACCAATCATCCATGCATTCTCATCATTATAAACAACCTTAGACATCAGGTAAACAATGTTGCCACCGTCAATGCCCAGGGTTGGGTAAGCCGAATACAGATTTCTCAATGTTGATTTCCCAGCTTTAGCATCCCACAGTTGTGGGAGCAACATAGAGTGATCAGTATTGTCAGCCAAGATGTCATCAATATCAACAGTGTGCCCCTTGCGCCAATAGTCCCAGGAAGTATGCCTATAACATGTCCGGAGCTTCCAACCATCATCAACAAGAGTATATTCCACAGGGTCGGTACATGAATCATCTTTGTGGAAGAGCAGCTCTGAATCATGGATGATATCTACGCTGTCAAGATCCTTTGTCGTCTTGCGAGTCTTGATGTTGTGAACAGCAACCTTTTTGAAACGAAGATCCAACTCTACAAACTTGATGACACCATTGGAGCAGGTGATGTCCCTGAACAGGCGTGGGTTACCTTCATGTCGCTCGTTTTCTTCAAGCATGGGCACTGGGGTGAAACTTAGAACGGGGTTCTTGTCAAACACGTTGCAGCTGATGATACCCCGCCAGAGGTCGATCCAGCCTACAGCACCTCCTCCAAGCGCAATCACCTTGTCGAGTGATGGGCCAGGCAGGTCTTCTTTCTTTACTACGGGAGATGCCTGTAACCGCAACTGCTTGGTGGTCCACTTGCCAGTCTTGGAAGAGAAGACATGAAGCTCGTAGTCCGAACGGGGATTTGTCATGCAGAGATCCGCGATGACAAATTCCCCATCGTCGTCGTCGGACGGCAGGACGCAGATGTGGAACGAGTTCCTGGTGCCTGGTGGAGTAACCGGGATCGGTTCGAGCGACGGCTTGCCACGACCAGCCTTGTAGAGAAAGTACTCGGCGAGACGAGAATCCTTATGGGTGCTTCGTGGACCGACGGTGAAGGCGAGGCGGAGGAGTACGAGGTCCTTCGCCGAGAAGAGAACCAGGGGTTCCATCATGAAATCTTCGTGCTTCAACTCGGGGCCAAAGACGCAAAAGTGTGAGATTGCCGGCGGATCTGAGAGGCAGAAACTGACCTTGACCATGTGACCGGTGCTGGTGGTGGCTTCAGCGGTGGTGGCGTTCTTGCAGACGGCAAAGTAGGCCCTACTGTCAAGAAGAACCCATGGGGCACAGCGGGTGGTGGCGGGTGCTACGGCGGGGGGGTGTAAGGAAGAGGCGGGGAAGGATCCCTCCATTATACTCGGCGGCGGGGCAGACAGGATTTGGGAACTAGGGCTTCCTCACCAGAACAGAGGAAAACTTCTGTTGTTGTTTCTTTTTCGATAGAGAAACAGAGAGACAAGTGCTTGCCTTTTAATGGCCTGAGTGTTTTCCGAGTCCATCTAAAATTCTCTCCTCCTTTCTCGGCCGAACTTGGCTGAGTCCAGGTAGGATGCCCTCTCTCTGCTGGGCCGCGTCCGGGCTAGTATTTTGCTTCCCTTCACGGACCGGGAACTATCGACACGGAAACAGCAAAATCACCAGTAGTATGCATGTGTAGTTATCGATGTTTTCTTTTTCGTATATGGTTATAGTGGGGTGTTTATTTGCAATCCAGATCGCCGCCGGTGTGAAAAAAAACGAATTATAAGTTTGCTTTCATAGCAATATTTTAAAAATATTTAACAGGTAAAATTAACATCATATTTAGATTCCACACATTTTTCTAATAAAATTTCATATATAATATGTTAAAATTGAAGTTATAGTTTAAAAGATACAGATAATTTAGAAAATCATTTGATTTGACTCAAATATATTTAAAAATAATATTTAAAAATACTTAACAGGTAAAAATAATCTCATATTCATATTCTACATATTTTTCTAATCAAATTTCATATATAACATGTTCAAATCGGAGTTACGGTTTAAAAGATATGGATGATTGAAAAAAACATTTGTTTAACTTAAATATGATCCGCGGATGAATTACCTAAAACATCAGGGGGGTTTGAAAAATGTAAAATAACGGTTCCAGTGTGACTTAAATCCGGACGGCGGGTTGATTTCAAGAAAAGACAGGATTTTTTATGAAAAATGCCATGACGGACGAAAGAAACTCAATTTACTTTATTATTAGGTAAAGACTGGCACATATGCCCGTGCATTGTAACAGGAGATAAAATAGTATGCATTTAGAGTCAGTGAGAATTATATGTGCAAGCAAAACCCTGTGTGCACACGAAAAATGAATATTTAGCTTCCCGATTTCGCTGCGTGTGAATGAATCAATCCGTTATTTTTCCATTCATTGATCGATGGCATTTAAGAGTTTTATTACGTCATCGTACACCAGAGAAGACCCATGAGTTATTCAATCTACTTTTCCTTTCAATCCTTTCAATGGAGGTGATTTTAAGGTATGGAGTTTTTGAATATTCTAGGAAACATGAACAATTTTTTAAATCCTTAACAGTTATTGGAAAATTATGTAGAATTTTGGGAAAATGCTAACAAAATACGAAAGGAAACATATTTTAAAATTCACAAACATTTTCTGAAAACACCAATTTTTTTATAAAAAACATGAACATTATTTAAATTTGTGAACACTTTTTTAAAACAGAAACATGTGTTGAAATTCATAAGTTTTTTAAAAAATGTGTATCATTTATACATGAACATTATTTTTAATTGTAAAACTTTCACTAAAACAAGAATATTTTTCGAATATGGAGCATTTTTTAAAATGCAATTATCTTTTTAGAAATCTCGAATAACTAAAACAATAAAAAAATTGAACATTTTTTAGTTATTTTAGTTCTGGACGCTTTTTGAGAATTTTAATTTACAAAATAAATTATAAAAGATAAATAAATTTGGAAGGAAAAAAGATGTAGGGAAAGAAGAATAAAAATAGAAGTAAAACAGGGAAATTAAGAAAAGTAAGCAAGCTCATTATTGGTTGTCCTGTGCGAAACTCCTACTATTTGCCGCCTAGTGCGGAAAATAGACCTTTTCAGCTGTGTGGGCAGAAAAATAAGTTGGCTGGCTTCACTGGGCCACAGGACATGGCCACGTACGAAAATTCCTTTTTGGCAGACAAACGCATAAAATTTAGTACCACCTCGGATAGAAAAAAAAGTCGGCGGTGAACGGATGAAAAAATTGACGAAATGCACTTTGCTTTATTAGTAAGTATAAATATAGATATAGATATAGACTAGCAAAAAGGCCCGTGCGTTGCAACGGAAGAAAAAATACCATGGGCTCTTAATTTTTAAAAAAGTCTATAATCTGAGATTTATAGCTATGACCCAAACAAAGATGGTCTTAACCTACAAAAGCGCGGTTCAAGATTCCACAGGTATTTTATTTCAACACAACTTGCATATAGATTTAATCCGTACAAAGAAACGGACAAACGATTATGCATTTATTCATGTCAAGAAAAGACTGCGCGGTAAAACCATGTGCAAAGAAACGGTAAAGAAATACGACAAAAACAGACTATGACACATTAGTACACTACGGAGACATGTGTGCATCAAGGGTGATTTTCAGTTTAAGGATCACCAACTTAAGGTAACTCTTGAACACTTTTTTCACATGCATATCTCTTAAATACATGAAGAGTTATTAAAAAGATACATTTTTTTAAGCATAAAGAGAGATTTTTTTGTCAGAAAAGGAACATTTTTGTATGGTCTCCTATGGACACGGGTACTTGCATCCATTCACCACTATTTCTTGCCATACATGTCATAGGTATTGGTCCCTGTTTCATCATTTTTTATATCTTGTCAAATATGTCTTTTATTTTATTTTATTTTGTCGTGCATGCCTCCTTTTTACTTTTTGCCATGCATATCCTCTCTTTCTTCTTATATATAGGAGAATAGCGCAACATCTCATCTTTATTGGATATCCTCTGCATTTTCTCTTTTATTTCTTTTATAGCAGACATATCGTCTTTATTCGGTCCTTCTTTTATTTCTTGTCATGCATGTCCTTATTTGTTGGGTGTCTCTAGCAAATTTATCTTCAATTCGTGTGCAATTCTGACTTTGCTGAGGTGTTCGTCCCCAATCCGAATCACTATCGGTGTGATAGAAAGACGGATAATGCATTATTGATTAATATTTCACCTTAGATAGTTTTTTTTAAATGATTAATAGGTAAAATAACATCATATTTAGATTCTATATTTTTCTAATCAAAATTCATATATAACATGTTAAATTTAGAGTTACGATTTAGAAGATATGAGTATTTTAAAAAGCATTTGATATTTAGTCCGCTTTAATGTCTAAAATATCAGGGGTTTTCTATAAAATAGCATGACGGACTAAGAATACCTATTTCTTTTATTAGTTGGTATAGATATAGAAGAGCTGAGATGTCAGTTTTTGTTTGGAGGAAATTAGGGCTTTTGATTCTCTGTCTTGGCCTTTTCTTTTTGAGGTGCTACGGGCTAAAGGCTTTTCTGAGCACTGGTTGGCATGGATTGGCACCTTACTTACCTCGGCAAGTTCTCGAGTTGTGGTGAATGGGTCTGCGGGGCAGAAGTTCATGCACGCAAAGGGGTTGAGGCAAGGTGATTCGATATGGCCCCTTCTGTTCGTCATTGCTATGAACGTACTAACTGCAATCGTGATAAAAGCACATGACTCTGAGGTACTGAGTAGCATGAATGGCTGCAACCTAATGCAGCGCCTATCTCTTTATGCGGACAATGTCGTTTTCTTCATCAAACCCACAGTTTCGGATCTGTTCTTTGTCAAAGAGGTGCTTGAGATGTTTGGAGAAGCTTCAAGACTGAAAATCAATTATAGCAAGTCTGCGGCTATCATGACCAGGGCGGAGGACAGCGATGAACAACTTGTAAGGGAGGCTCTGCCATGGAAAATGGAAACCTTTCCTTGCAAATATCTGGGGTTACAGCTTAGTAACAAGCAGCTAAAGAGATCGGAGTGGCAATGGTGGTGGATGCTGCATTGCATATTGTACCGGGATGGCAGCGTGGGTTTGTGACTAGGCCAGGTAGATTGGTATTGGTTAATCAGGTTATGAGGGCAAGACCAACCCACCATTTGATTGTTGCTGAGGCCCCAAAATGGGCATTGGAGCGGGTGGACAAGGGCTGCAGAGCTTTCTTCTGGGCTGGGTCCGAGGAAATACATGGCAGCCGATGCTTAGTGTCTTGGAAGCGTGTGTGTGTAGACCTAAAGAACTTGGAGGACCGGGGGTGGTTGACCTGTGCAAGCAAGGAATTGCACTTAGGATGAGGTGGGAGTGGCTTTCAAGGACGAACGCCACGAGGCTGTGGCAAGGTCTAAACTGGGTCCCGGACAAACAAGCTAGTGAAGCATTTTCTAGCATTGTGAAGTGGCAAGTTGGCGAGGGAACCAAAGTTCTGTTCTAGAAGGATAGATGGGTCAGTGGGGCTACGATCGGAGAGCTGGCCCCGATAATCCATAAACGGGTCAGAACACAGGTGGTGAACCGAAGGAGTGTGAAGGATGCGCTGTGGATGCATGCCTGGACGAATGACATTACAGGTCAACTAGGCACAGACGAGCTGACTCAATTCGTTCGATTATGGGAGATATTGATCGATATGCAACTGATGCCTGGTACCAAAGACAAACCAATATGGTTTTGGAATCGCGAAGGAGTATACACAACGGCCTCAGCCTACAAGATGCTCTGCATGGGAGGGATCCGGTTTCAGGCTTATGCTGCCATATGGAAGTGTTGGGCTTCGCTGGTATGCAAACTCTTCATGTGGTTGGTGGTGCAATATTGGCTCTGGACGGCAGACAGACGGTTTCGACATGGGCTTCAGGCCCAAAGATCGCCATGCTATCTCTGCGAGCAGGAGGAGGACACTGTGGATCATATCATAATGTAGTGTGTGTTTGCGAGGCAGGTGTGGTATATTTGCTTTTGCAGAATGAACATTAGTCCTGAGCTCTGCCCAACACACCAGTCCACAATTGGTGCTTGGTGGGATGATTCGAGGAAGCACATTCCGAAGAGATTGAGGAAAGGTTTTAACTCAGTGGTCATATCGATTTGCTGGAATATTTGGAAGCAACGTAATGGGAGGGTCTTCGGGCGTAATGACCATAGGAATGTAGGAGGAACGGTAGATCTGATTTGGCAAGAATTAGAAATGTGGTCTAGAGCAGGAGCCACTCGAGTTTCTACGTGGTGTGAGGACTGAGAAGTAAGGTAGAGATCGGATGAG